TGCCGCAACTCAACGCACGTGGACGTGCAGGTCTTCATGCAATGCCCTTTTCCCTCCCGACAGAGGCCTCGCCAGGCGTACAGTTTTTCTAACCGCTACCGCTCCTGTTAACGCTACCGCTCCTGTTAACGCTCCCACCGCATGTACGGCTGCATCTTTCGCCGCACCCACGCCAGCACACTTTGGCGTTCGTCTACGTTACACGCGGCAGCGGAAAGGCCAGAGGGGCTGTAGCGGCAGTTCTGATAGTACCCCCCATTCACTAGTTCCTCTCGCACGCAGCAGTTCACCACCACCTGGCTTCCCTCACGTGCTGTGCGCATGAAGAGCAGGTAAAGGTAGCGACACCAACGAAACGTCGTGGCGAGGGGCACGTGACGGTAAAGGTTTGTCACGACACCCCCAGGAACCGCAACACATGTCGTGTACCGCGGTGTATTGCCACCGCCATCGTTAGCGTCATTTTTTTGCGGGCCGTTGTTGTCGCTCTTGTTGGCGGCCGCTGTGGCAAAGGTGGCCGTGGCAGGCACCGTCGACGCCAACGGCTTTGCGGCGTTCGCGTAGGAGCGCACCGCCAAGTCCTGCGCGTGGTAGATGCAGCCAAGCTTTGTAAACCCGTACTGCTCGAGTCCGTCAAACCTGTCGCGGACGCGCGGCGACCACAACCCGCGCCCAGACAAGTACGTTGACACAATATTTCCCTTCACCGCGACGTGGGCCGAGCAGGAGACGTAGACGACACGCCCACCGTTTTCTGCAACAAGCGGCAAAAGCCCCTCCGTGAGCAAAAACGGACCGAGCAGGTTCACTGCGAGCTGCTCGTCGTCGCCGAAACGCGACATCACCTGCTGCTGCTGCATCAGCCCCGCGTTGTCCACAAGGATGTCCACCAGCATCCGCTGATGCTGGGCACGCTTGCAGTAGTCACGTATCGCAATAAAGTCGGTGAGGTCTAGGGCGGTGAAGCGTATCTGCTGCGCCTCACTCTTTGCGGATCGCTTGATGTACGCCATCGCCGCCTCAACGTGGGGGCCGTCGCGCGAGAGCACCGTCACGTCGGCGCCCATGGAGGCCAGCTGGGACGCCGTCTCCCGCCCAATACCGCTAGTCCCGCCCGTGACGATGACGTGCCGGTCGCTCAAGTCCTTCCACTCCCTGTTTCTCCGGCCACGCGCAATGTAGCGAGAAAAGGCAAACAGCAGCAACGAATACATCACCTGCAGCTGAAACGGAAAGGCGACAAAAAAGGTTGCGACGTACACCGCGAGAAAGCCGCCTGGCAGGACAAGAAATGTAGAGCTCTCGCGGAGGATCGCGTAGGTGTGATATCCGTAGTTGTACGTGTGTTCGCCCTCAAACCGCTTGACGCGGCGGCACATGCCGGGGAAGAGCGGCTGCTGCTTCGCCTGTGAGAGTTTGCGCGGCCGCAGGAGACGCATCGTGTGCTGCTGGTAGTGGCGCACGCTACCCCAGCCGTGCCTAGGCGCCAGCGGACCACCCGCGACGGCACAACGGCGCACGCAAAGACCCGAAGCGTACGACGCCATTCCCCTCCCCTCCTTCAATTATCTAAAGATAAAAACAAAAGCAAAAAAATACGACAACCACAACGAACTCGGGGGCACCCTCTCGCAGCCCCCCGCCCCGCCCCGCCCCGCCCCGCCGCCGCCTTCCTTCCTTCCTTGGTGCCGCGGCCGCGACCGTACCGCACGGGGAAGCCCCAACGCGAAGAATAGAGAAGCGCAAGCACGCAGCGCCGAGAAGGAACGAGACCGCAGATAACACCGCCCACCCCGCAAGACCCCAAATAAGAAACCGCATAGGGGATAATAAGACCACACACACACAAAAAAAGTTTCCGTTCTTCCATGTCACTTATCCACGTCTGCGTTGTAGAGTCACGGCGGCACCCGTTGAGGCATCCACGCAGGCGGCAACGGAGGGTGAGGAAACAACAACAACACGCATCCTACAATGCATACAGCCACATAACTAGTTATTAGGGGCTTTTGTCATCCTTCTTTGGAGGGGCGCCACCCGTCGCAGCCGCGCCCACGTGTTGACTTGACGCAGCTGGCCGCATTGTGTAATACCTTGCGATCGTATTCGTCATGGCCCACTGCATCACCTCGTTTCGGCTCTTCGGGTCGTGTGCCCGTCGGCTAAGCCCGCTTGGCATCTGCATGCACTCTGCGTAGTAGCCACCATTTTCTATCTCATCACGTACGCAGCAGTTCACTACAGTCTGACTCCCCTCGTAGGCGTTCCGTATCCACAGTGAACGCAGTGTGCGGGCAAGGATGTTCGTTCCGAGCAGCGGCGGTGAATCACGACAGGTGAGGTTCGTCGCGCAAAACTCTGGGTCGGCGATGCACACCTCCACCGGACGCAGCTCGGTGGGCTGATTAAGCGGCACCCCCTCGTAGCGGCGTGTGGCGATGTACTGCGCGTGGTAAACGTTGCCAAGTTTGGAGGCGCTGTAGCAGCGCGCCGTGACCTGGGCCTCATCTGGCGAGGGCTTTAGCATCATGCGCTCCTTGACAACGTTTGCCTTGTGCACCCCGTTGTGCGAGGAGCACGTCACGTACACGACGCGACCGCCGTGCCTTGACCGCCGCAGGGACGGCAAGAGGGCCTCCGTCAGGTGAAACGGCCCAAGGAAGTTGACGCCAATGTGTACCTCAAAGCCCTGCTTTGTCACAGTGGGCTCCTCCCGCCAGACACCGGCGCAGTTCACTAGCAGGTCAATCCGATTGTCAAACTTCCCCTTAATGCGGGCGGCGCAGGCCATGACGTCAAGTTGATCGGACAAATCCAATGCGACAAAGGTGAGGCGTCCCTGCAGAACATCCTCCTCGGAGTCGCGAGCGCACTCGCAATTCGCCTTGAGGAAGTCCCGCGTCGCCGCCTCGCGCCCCGGCCGCGCCGCAATCACGACGTGAGCGCCCATGTCGAGCAGCTGCATTGCGGTGTACAGTCCAATCCCACTGGTGCCCCCTGTCACGACGCAGGTGTACCCGCTGAGGTCCTTGGAGGCGTGGTTCATCATTCCTCGAACGCTAAGGCGTTGCAGCATCACGCAGAGGCTCCAATAGAGGCCCTGCGTAACCCAGGGGGCGGCATAGAGTGGAGCCGCGGCGCAGTACACGGTGGCCATGAGCATTGGCACCCACATACGCCGCCCATGAAACAGCAGGTAGCCTGTGTGCCGCAGTGAGGAGAAGTCAGGAATATCATCGGCGACCACATAGGCAGAGGCATCGGATGTGTTTGTACTCAGCGCATGAATCTTCTTCTTTGGTGAAGGCTTGACCGCCGCCGCCGCCGCCGCCGCCGCCGTGCTCTGGTGGCGAAGCAGCGAACAGAGTTGCGCCCGATGGCACAACATTCCCGCCGTGCTCACCACGGCGCACGTCGTTAGGCCTCTTCGGAGGGAAATATGACGCAACATCCACGCCTGGCCCCCTTTTCCTTTGTGCTTTGCTGTCAAATTCTAAACTTTATTTGGATCTCGCAATGAAAATGTTCCCCTCCCCCCAACGCCCAGAAACCAAGGGCAAAACAACAACAACAACAGCAGCAACAGACGTAGATAATATATGTGTCTGCTGAATCCGCCCCAGCGCAGCACACAGAGATGTGGTGACAAAGTGCAGTGAATTGCCGCCGTAGTTATCGACAATGACGCTGGTGCCGAGCGACGGCTCCTTCGGAGAAACAACAGGCAAACACGCACGTAGTCACTGCCAACGGAGAAGCAGGGGAGGGGGGGGGCGACGATGAAGAAAAGCAGGATGCCGTCCCTCGTTGGTAACGCCTCAGCAGCGCCACTAGTCATTGCCTTGCATCGGCGCCAGCTCCCACTCAGGGCGTCGCTGCACCGGCTTCACATTCTGATTTTTTTGCCGTGCCATTGTAATCCCCTATCTTTTTCGCCACATTTTCACGCGTGACTTCCGGCTTTTCCAGCCACTCAGTCAAGTAGTCATCACGCGACTTGGCAACGGAGTCCCGCTGGTCCTCGTAGGAGTAGCGTGCCCAGTATTTGCGCTGCCGCGGGTCAAACCACTGCGGCTTCTCCTCCTGCAAATTATGATACGCAGCCTTCATGCGCTTGTGGTACGGCATCTCCTGGTGCCGCATCGAGTTCTTCTCTACGGGGACGCCAATGCGGAGGTCGTACTTTGACTTCTCCTCGTAGGACATGTACATGCGGTTCTTCTTGTACCACTCACTGTGCCCCTCCTCACCCGGCTCAGGGCCCCACTCCTCCGGCCACCCAAACTCCGGAGGCGGTGTGAGGCCATCCCCGTCCTTCTTCCACTCATGCAGATGATGCAGCTTCTCCGACTCCGTCAGCTGCTTCTTTGGCTCAAGACACTTGACTGTGACGCCAAGGGCCTGCTCCTCATACGTCGCATAGCGCGGGGCAGGCTCATGCTTGGGGAACATGTCCTCGAAGTACTTGTAGCCGCTGCGCAGCGGAGAGCTGGTGGGCAGCAAGAGACCCACCCACCGCACAGAGGAGCACTGGAGCATCGCAATTCGTTTCTGCGATTTCCCACCTCCACCGCCTCGTGCCTGAACACTCCCCACTACGGGAAACTAGACGTGCCTCACTTCCTTAGCTAATGCTAGGGCTGGGCGTGGACTCTGCCTCCCCGGCTTTTCTCACACAAGAGCAGCGAAGGGGGGAGGGGGAGTTATTGGGCAGCGTGGTTCACCTGATAGCATCACACGAGCAAACCCCATCCATTCCACGTCTCGAACGGGTCCCCTCCACCTCCGTGAGTTTTTTTTTCGTGTTTGTTTGTTTTGTTTTGTTTTGTTTTCATGTTTCTTCATTTTCTTTGTTTACACTTTTTTTACTTTTCACGCGCAATTCACGGATATGATTTCCCTTTCCGTTAACCCAAGTGGGCTCCTGCTTTTCCCCGGCGCCCCACACACCTGCCCTCCCCTCCTGGAGTTGCCTCATTATCGCCCTTCCCTACGCCTTGGACGCACTTGCCGGCAAGACGCGCTTCAGGAAACCCGCAAGGTCTTGGATCTCGTCCGGGTGCGCCGAGTGCGCCATGGGGTACGACTTCAACGTGATCGCGGCCACGCCGGCCGCCTCCAGCGCCTGTTTCGACTTCCGTGCCGCGTCGAAGGGCACAACGTCGTCCTCTGAGCCGTGACACATGAGGATAGGGACGTCCTTGTTGCGCAGACGCGACATGACCGCGTTGCCGCCCGCGAGGTACCCAGAGAGCACCGCCACACCGGCCGGTGCAAGGCGCGCGGTGATCCCTGCCGCGAGCGAGACCGCGGCGCCCTGCGAGAAACCCGCATACACGACGCGACTGCCCGGAAGGCGGTGGCGCTGCGTCGCGGTGTATGCGAGACTCGTGAGGTAGTCGGCGGAGGCCACCACCGCCTCTTCGTCTTGGCGCGACTTCTCCAGCGCGCCGCCGAGGTCCTTGATGTCGTACCACGCATTCATCGACATGCCACCGTTGATGGTCACTGGGCGCACCGGGGCCGTCGGAAGGAGAAAGAGGAGGTGCGGCAGGGACCCCGCCAGCTCACGCGCGACGCTTTCCCACCCCTGCGCCGAGTCACCCAAGCCATGCGACAGCGTCACAACCCCGCTGGGGTTCTTCCGGTTGCCGACCTGCAGCAGTGGCCCGTACCGCAGACCATGCGTGATGAACTGCGAGTTGCGTGTGGAGACAAGCTTGGCCTGCAGATCCTTCAATTCCACGACATCCGAGAAGTCGCTGACGCCGTAGAGACGTCGCAGCTCCTCCTTTATCTGCGAAACGGTCAAGTTTTCTATTGGGGTACCGATCATTGTTGGGTGGGTACAAATACGTACGTGGCCCCGGAGGCAGCACTGCGCCCCGCCCCAAGTGTACTCTCCGCAGATAACTGAAACTACTGTGGATCGGGGCAAACAACGAGGAGGAGAAATGCAAAAAAAAACCGAAGAGGAGCTCCACTTCCACGGCGCAGACGGCGTGAATAGAGGCGAGGATGGCAGACAGACGGGAGACGCAGGGCGATGGCGGCTGGAGGACGTCCCACCCAGCAGTGGAAGGGCGGGTGGGCCTCCACTTGGCGCCGTATCCCACCGCCCACGATGCCGCACAGACGCAGCGTGTTTGCCGCCAACAGGGAGAAAAAATGGCGAAAAAGGAGGGAGGGGGGTGAGGGTCATTCCTTCCCCCGTCACACCGCCAGTTTCGATTCTTTCTGTTTTTTTTATTCGCTCTCTATTGTTGTTGAAACACTCTTTTCCCCTCCCTTCCTTCCTTCTGTTTTTTTTCTTTAGTCATGCTTTGGCTTCCCAGCCGCCGGTGGGTGGCGGCGGGCGAAAATTTTATTCAAGGCGAAGAGGCCGCCGTGCAGCACCAGCACGGCCAGCAGAGGATACCCCCAGCGCCCCACTACCGTCGATGCGGCCCGCCGCCTCCAGCGGCGCCGCTCCACCTCCTCCGTGGACACCCCCGTGAGCCTCAGCGCGCCCGACAGCCACGCCGCCGCATCCGGCGCCGCCCGCGTGGGCCTAAGCCGGATACAAATGTCGGCGGTCTGGCCCTCGCCAGCGTTTTCCTTCTCCTCATACGTGACGGTTCCAACCTCCAACTCGGTGTCGCGGCCGGCGTTTTCCTCGTAGAGCCTGCACGTCTGAGGCACCCGCGGCGCCGTCGCAGCGTCGCTGGCCTCGGTGGCTTTTTGGGGCACGCGGTAGTTAAAGAAAAACTCGCTCTGCGAGAGCGCGGGGGAGGGCCGCAGCGTACACCGCCCTCGCAGGAATCCGCCGACGCTCCGTCGCGACTCCTCGCACAGGAGCAACGTGAAATGCAGCGACAGCGTGACGGTCACCACGCGCTCCCCCACAGGCGCGGTTACGTGCGCCTCCCCGAGGTCGTCCCGGCCCGCGAGGAGCGCCTCGCGACTAGCGTCCTCGCTAACTTCCTCTGCGCCCCACGCGGCCTGCCACCGAATGTTCTTCCGCCGCAGCAGCTCCAGAGGACCCTCCGTCCTCGTGAGCTGCAACGCCTCTGCAACAACCTCCTCCGCGCGGCACAGCTGCGACGCGAGGACTGCAACGAAGAGCAGCACGTCAGGCAACAACTTCGCTCGAAATGTGGGCGTGTGCATCACGCTCATTGCATGCGATGAGAGTCAGTCCCCCTCCTTTCTTCTCCCTTTCCGTGCCTTTATTAATTCTCCCCGCTGCTCCAGAGTGACAGCGACAAAACAGAGGAAATAGAAGAAACAGGGGGGTTGCCGGTGGGACTTCCTCCGTAAAGAGAAGAGAACGACCACGGCGGACCCACGCCGTGCAGCCCATGACGGAAGCAAACTACCAATGGTAGGAAGAGGGTTTGCAGACTGCGGGGGGCCTGCCACTAACGACACCATCCCCCGCTGCTTCGTATTCTTCTCACCACCTTCCACGGTTGCCTGGAGCACGCAGGCCACACCTTGACTGAGCCGAGGCCCACGCGTGCACTGTGAGTTCCCCCACCACAAATGAGAAATAGAGAGAGGTATATATAAGTGGAGAGAGTACAGGGCAGGGGCCGGAGAAAAAAAAGAAAAAACAAAAAAAAAAAAACTAAAGCCAAAACAAACAAACAAAGGGATCTCACGCCCTGCTCTTTCTCTCCTTCTATGCACGTGCGCACGCGTCCTGGTAGGTGGGCAAGGTAAAGTATAGCCGAGAGAAGGATGGGGGAGGGGGGGGGGCGCTCAAAGTAGGGT